GGTAAACAAGCCTGGCGCACCACCACAACGCCCTCAGCCGAGCGGCGCGCAGTGCCATACACGACCACGCATTGGGCGTGCGGGCACCGCCCTCCCCCACCACTTCACCAAAGCGGACGCTTGGCCGCCATGGGGTTGCTCGTATGCTGCAATCACGCTTCGCCGCCAGCTTGTTATCAGTAGTCCCGTGGGTCGACTATTTGCTCCTCTCCGCCTTGTCGGTCTTATCACAGTCGGCTAATGATTACTACTTATCTCTTGGGCCGCTCAGAGCCTTCACGCTGTCAGCCGCGCTTAAGTACATGGTCTATTTGAAGGCGGCCAGCCCGCCCTTTCACTGACCCGTCAGCTGTGCCTTGGAGCTTCACTCCTTCAAGTTTGTGCCCTGCTAACCCCGGTGCGGCCCTCCGCCACCACTTGTGCGATACAGAAGACTCCCATTCTGCTATCCACATCGCCATCGCTTGCTCAACATGGCCATCACAAACCGCAAGACAAACTCCTCCGACGAGGGCTCGGGAAGCCCAGACATTGAGTATGGCGGCAAGTCCGAGTATCAGACCGGTGATGTGCACGTTGACGCCGATGGTGTTGCTGTTCACAACGACAACAGCCACCTGCACCGCGGTCTCAAGTCGCGACACATCACTATGATTGCCATTGGTGGCGCCATCGGAACTGGTCTCATCATTGGTACCGGAAAGGCTTTGGCCCAGTCTGGGTATGTTGTGCAGATCCGCACCCTTGGCCTACAGCTAACAAGCCCAGTCCTGCCTCGATCCTTATTGCTTACACTCTCGTCGGTCTCATCGTCTACGTCGTCATGACAGCTCTTGGCGAAATGGCTGCTTGGATTCCCCACGCTTCCGGTTTCGCTGGTTACGCCACTCGTTTCTGTGATCCTGCTCTTGGCTTTGCTCTCGGGTAAGCATTTCCTCCAAGCCTCTTGCTTTTGTCACACCACTAACATTACAAAGTTGGTGCTATTTTGCCAAATACGTCATTACAACACCCAATCAATTGACCGCTTCTGCTCTGATTATTCAAGAATGGAAAACCCGAGAGGAGGTCAATCCTGGTGTTTGGATCACCATCTTCCTCGTTGCCATTTGCGCCATCAACTACTTTGGTATCAAGTTCTTTGGTGAACTAGAGTTCTGGCTCAGTTCCATCAAAGTCATTACCATTGTTGGCATCATTCTCCTCTCGTTCTTGTTGGCAGTTGGCGCTGGCCCTGGCGGTGCAACTGGCTTCAAGTACTACAATAATCCAGGTGCCTTCAAACCGTATATCGCTTCCGGAAGTGAAGGCAAATTTTACGGCTTCTGGAGCTCTTTGGTCAACGCCGTCTTCGCCTACCTCGGAACTGAGCTCATCGGTGTTACGGTCGGCGAGGCTCAAAACCCTCGCAAGACTATCCCGCGCGCCATCAAGCTTACCTTTTACCGGATTCTCTTCTTCTACTGTCTGTCCATTTTCTTCCTGGGCATGCTTGTACCGTACAACTCTCCTGAACTTTCATTTGCGAACAAGGCCACCACTGGTGCTTCGGCCTCACCCTTTGTTGTTGCCATCAAGATCGCCAAGATTCCCTATCTTCCTACCATTGTCAACGCCTGCATCTTGCTCTTCACCTTTAGTGCTTCCAACTCGGATCTGTACATTGCTTCGCGTACCATCTACGGACTTGCTGTTGAGGGCCATGCCCCTAAGATCTTCCTCTGGACCGACAAGCGAGGTGTTCCTGTCCCTGCGCTCGCTATTTCGGCACTCCTCTGCTGCACTGCCTTCATGAACGTCGCAGACGACTCCAAGACCGTTTTCGGCTACTTTGTCAATTTGACCACAATCTTTGGTCTTTTGTCCTGGATCTCGCTTTTGGTATCACATATCTGGTTCGTGCGCGCACGCAACGCCCAGGGCATTACCAAGGACCAGATGGCTTACACTGCCCCCTTTGGTCTTGTCGGCTCCTACATTGCCCTCTTCTTCTGCATCTTGATCGCCTTAACCAAGAACTTTTCCGTCTTCACCAGGGGCTCTTATGGTTCGTTTGATTACAAGAACTTCATCACCGGATACCTTGTAAGTCTTTTTCATACCCGTGTAAAGCCTACTTTTTACTAATATGATTTCATAGGGTATCCCAATCTACCTGATCTGCATCTTTGGCTACAAGTTCATCATGAAGTCCAAGATGGTTCGCCCTCACGAAGCCGACTTCTACAGCGGCAAAGCCGAGATCGACCGCGAAGAAGAGGAATTCGTGGCTCATGCCGCAGCGAAGAAGGCAGCAGGCGGCCGTGACGGCAGCTGGTTCTACAAGACGTTCGTTGCTTGGTTGCTATAGATGGCATTTCAGAGCGACATTTTCAAGTCTTGTACCTCACACGCTTGTGTGCTTTATGATACATATCAGGATTAGGTATGCTTTGAATGATTTGTATGGGGAAAAAAGTTTCATAGTTAATAGACTCCATGAAGTTGAGTAAACTTATCGGTCTGTTTAAAAAAAACTTTAATTCATTTTATTGTGCAAAATGATTATTGTGTGCAAAATGATTATTGATGTGTTCAAAAAAGCCATTCCGGCAGCATTGCACGTGAGATTTCTGATGCTCACGACACGTGGGAAGATTTTTCGGTATAATTTGAAAAAAATTCATTAGTACACTAAATCAATATAACCCTATAATCATTTACAAAATCCAAAATTACTCACATCAAATGTGAAATCACGCAAGAAGAGTAATCACATACGCGCCCTCCCATAGCAGTGCCAAGCCCCCGATTCCATCCCGCCCCGCACCCACCAAACCTTCCCACACTCCCCCTCCCTTCCCGTGCGACACCACCACCACCAGATTTACTCAGATGTCGTCCCAATAAGCTCACCATCCAAGCCTCTGCGCCGTCAAACATTGGCATTCTCTTATGCGTGCACAAGCAAAAAGACGAGAAATGGTGGCTGCCCTTGGAATCCTGCTCATTGCCGTGTTTGCCGGGTCGAGCACGGGTAGGACGGCAGGTTTATGGGGAGCGGCGGAGTGGGGGTGGGATGTACACAGTACGAGATACTGTATGATACGGGGGGGGGTCGGGGTGTGAGAATAAGAGAGGGTGTTTTTCGGCGCTTTTTCGTTACCTTTTTTTTAACTTTTGGTTTCTGATACTAGTTTTGGTTTTTGAGTATGCTAACGGGAGTGGTTCACCGGTTTGTTTGTGGTTGTCACGAGGCGGACTTGGGGTTGGCCGGTTTGCCTGGTTTGCCTTGCGAGGCGCGTGTATAAGGTTGACTTTCTAGCTTGCGTGTGTGTTTGCCTTGGGTATACGTGCGTCGGAGCGGATGTTTCTAGGGCGGCGCGGGATGCTTGGGGTGGATGTAGTCATGTGGCTTTTTGTGTAGTTTGGATGCGTGAGGAGGGTGGTGGTAGAGGACTATGATGGTGGTCGTGGCTGTGGTGGCTGTGGTGGTGATTGTGATGGTACTACAAGGTAGTGCTTCGACCGTGGCTTATCGGCGTACTCCGAGGTGATGGAGAACTATGCGTTACCTATGGTAATGTCTTTTGCTCGGAAGATGATATGATAGGTAGGTGTGCTTTTCTCCCGCTTTCGGACGTTTCCCTTTTCGGACCATGAAGTCGTGACAAGGACAATCTACCTTCCCGTCTAGCATACTCCGTCCCTTGTACTATCCGAGTACAGCAGATAGATTCATAGCTTTAGCAGTTTCTTTACATCTACCGTATAGTCTTTTGTCTAGACTCGACATGTCAGATACAAGCTCTGTTGCAAGGCGGTGTGGCCACAGACAGGATTTCACTAGAACAAGAGCGACCTCCATTGATAGCATCTTACCACACCACTTCCATTCAGTAGGGCGAGACCACATGGCTTCCGATTCCTATTGGCTCGCTCAGCATCTTCATTCTGCTTCACGACGTTGGCTGGTATTGGAGTGATACTTGGATACAATAGCATCAGCATCAGCATCGTCAGTCGTCCTTCTATGAGTCATGTTGTATAATGGCCCTGAAATCTGTAATGAAGCGATGAGTTTCTTTCTTCCAACCACATGACTAGAGGGGGTGTCTGGGGTTGCACATAGGAAAAAAGAAGCTTACAAAAGGGAAAAGGGCACGTTCGGATGTGCCCCTTGCTACCCTTTTTGTGGGGCAAGACAAGATGACATTGCAGGCTTTGGGTAAGGCAATTCGGGCTTATCCAAATGTTCTTTGCTTCATAATTTTTCCTTTTTGCCTTCGTGGGGGGAGAAGAGACGGAGTATATAACTTTGGTGGTGGGATGGTTAGTTGATTTTAATATCTCTGCAGTTGCTTATATCATCGTTTACATCATTGGGATTGAAAATCAAATTCTAGTATCATTATTTCGAAAATCGCTGGTATTTCCATGTAAAAGAGTGTACCTGTCTCTTTACAAGGGGAAACGGCGATACAGTTTACGAATATCGAGTTCTTAAGCACCCCGACCACAACACTTCGTACAACAAGATACCAAAGCAAATTTACTCCTTACACAATTTGACAACTCGGCTTGAATCAATCTTGAATCATAGTATCTTCATCTAAGAGTTGTTTGGATCAATACTACAGTAGTAGCACACGTGCACTTCTACCTCCTCAGTGCATCACCACTATCACTACTACTTCCGCGGCTCCAGTTACTCACAAGTCCTCTCGAAACGGCTTAATGGCTCTCATTCCTTACTCTGGTACGGTAAACGATATGTGGGTGTGCAGTGAGTGTGGGGCTGACAACAACAATTGGGTTGAGCGGTGTCCGATTTGTGGTGAGGGATGGAGACCCTAGAAACAAAGAGAGGGAGAGGGGCGTCTCTACCTTCTGACTATTGTCTCTAGGACAGAGATTGGTTGAACAGAGGTGATGAATGCAGCATTGGAGGCCACGATTGGATTTTTACCGTCTACTGTTCACTGCGGTGCCAATTGGTTCTTTTGTCTTTGGGAACTGTTTCTCTTTTCTGGCAATGTCATTCGTTGTCTTCTTCTATGTTATCATTATATCTTATATTAGACTAGACTAGACTGGGCGTCTGTTACACATCTTCTTTTCAGCTATCAACCCATATCTTGTTTTTCAGTCTGACCCTGCTATTTACCATTGATTTTGAGATGGTTATTTCCATCATGAACGATGCATTAAGATGTCTCAATACAAACCAAGACCTCGGTGCTTGCTGTAGTTGTGGGTTGAGAACGCGACAACGCCGATACAACATATTCTCCCTTCTTGGATTGATTGTGATCAGACCGTGGAGTTGGTCATGATTATCAAGGAAGACAAAGAATGCCATAGGGTCAGTTGTCGAGATAGGTGCGGCCAATCTCGATGGCGTTGTGTTTTCTTTTGCTGTTCCTTGACAGTCTTTGCTGACTTGTACTAGCAACGACATTTAACGTAAACTCGCAGACGATGTACAATGCTACCTTAGGCATATTTCCAGCTGAATTTTGAGTAACCACGTTCCAGCGTTACCTGTAATTCGGGTGTCATTAGCGTTGCACTTGTAATCGATCTGAATGTCACAACGTACACGCTGGCGTGACATCAGATCCAAGAGTTTCACCATGGACCCTTCTTACACGTCTCAACCTTAGACGTGCAGTGTAACCTGATCTGGCCAACTTCAATAGTCTTGTATGCCCGTTTCGCCAGTCAAGACTTTCTCCTTCCCTTCTCCGTCAGAGTCAAAATCACTTTCCATACTCTCGAAATACGCATCCTGTAGGTCCCTTTCCTGCTCGGGGTCATCGTACTTGGGATTGCCATCCACGAGTTTTGCATAGTCAAAGTCGTCGTCTCCGCCTCTTAGAAAGCGCTGTGTCATCTCGTCTATCCACCAGGCCTTGCCCTCCTCCTTGCTCATGGGTATATCGTCCTTGTCCTCTTCTATTATCTCGCCCTGGGGCCCGCGGGTATATGTAAAAAGCGAATTGGGGTCTGGTTGCGACAGCGCATCCTTCTTCGCCTCGGCACGCCACAGGTCTGTCGCCATCTGGCCGGAGAAACCCTTCTTCCGGCCTTCAGCTTCACGTTCAGATGCGGTTTGGAAGCGGCGGATCAGGCGATCGTAGAGTAGAGGGTCGGCGAGCTCGAGAGAAGAGTCGGTAAAGTACTCAGGATGTACTTCGAGGTAGCGCTTGCGCCTGTTCTTGGCCTGGAGTCGCTGCGCCCGCTCGTCCTGTTGCTGTCGTATCTGGTCGCGGAGAAGAGAGTAGTCTACTGTATCCTCCATGGCGACATCTTCATTTGCACTGGTGGGTGTGATGTCGTCGGCGTCGGGATTGTTGTGCGAATCTGCGGGGTGCTTCGCAGCTTCGGGCGCATTCGCAGGTCGTAGAGTAAGAGGCGCCATTGTGGGCGGTGCAGTCAGATATGGCATACTATAATGTCAAAATCCGGCGAATATCCTTCTTCTGTAATCCAGCATGATGCATGGAGAGTGAGGTGGGCGCGGGCGCAAACCGTCCCGCCGCGCTTGGTAATGACGCCACAAACGCGCGCCACAGGAAACAGGGTCCGCAGGGTCCGTCTAGTCGAAACGCGCCCAGTCGAAACAAGACCGCCTTAATGATCGACCGTTTCATCAGACCCGAAGTCAGGAACAGCTGGCCTCCTTGGTTATTAACTTCAACGTCTTCCCAGCTTTTATCCTTCCTCATTCCCTTCTTTGACCCTTGTGCGTCGTCATCGTTGCCCTTATTTTTCTTGTTCTTGTCTGGCTAGATTCGCTGTGCGGATATACGGTCCGTCTATAGTGGAAAAAGAGCTTGGAACTCCTGCCTCATTTACGCGACATCTGGTCTTTTTCGACTGTACATATCTTTTCATTTTGTGGTCATAACTCATCACCTTTCTCTCCTTGAGATCGTGCCCTACGCAAAGAAGACTTTTTCACATCTATCACCATGTCTTCGAAACAAAAGACACAGAAAAAGCCAAAGGCTGCAAACAAAGCAGCGCCACAGACGCAGAGGGCCCCAGCATCAACAATCCTTCTAAACGTGGGCCGAGCAGCAGCACTTCTCCTCATCGCCGGTTTTGCTTCTCCAGTCTCTCAGCTAAATCTATCGCCCGTCTATGGATCCATTCCTGCATCGCTGCATCACCAGCGGACCATGACCATTGTTGCTGTGGCAGCTTTGTTGGTCCGACGAGGACTCAAGAGCTATGTATCTGCAAATGTGTCCCAATACATCGCTGTGGTTGCGTACTGGACCCCCGTCATACAGTTTCTCCTCTTCCCATACAGTGAAAAGATGGGAATTGAGTATGGACCTATGGCAATTGAGTTGTTGACATACTTTCCGTTGCTTTTCTTGTCAATCTTCGCTGCTGCCGATCTACTCGAATGCATCGATATCAGTGGCTTGAATCCCTCTCCGTTGAAGGAGATTGTCATTCCTACTGCTTCATACTTTGCTGTTTCCACCACAGCCAAGATCAGCAGCGCTTTCATCCCAAGCTTCATCGGCACATCGGTCTACTTCACTCGCATTGGCTTTCAGATGCTGCTCGCATCCGTATCTGCCTTCTTCAGCCCCTCACGCGTCATTCTGCTTGCGTTCCCTGCTATCTTGCATACGCTTTGGACCAACCCACACCATCCGTCAACTCACGGACTTCAATTGGCCAACTCGACTCTCCAAGCAACGCAAAACTATACCCTTCTTGCTCGACAGGAATCAGTCACCGGCTACGTTTCAGTGGTTGAAAGCCAATCTGAAAGTGCCTTCCGTCTCCTTCGATGCGACCACTCCCTTCTAGGTGGCGAATGGCTCGTCACCCCAGAAGCATATGCCAAAGGCCAGCGACAGCGCGAGTCTATCTTCGCCGTCTTCGTTTTGCTCGAAGCTGTCCGACTTATCGAACCCCCCGTCGCATCTATCCCAGCTGTAGACGAGAGCAAGAAATCCGCCCTGGTCATTGGTCTCGGAATTGGCACTGCGCCCAACGCCCTGATTGCTCACGGTCTCAACACCACTATCGTTGAACTCGACCCCGTAGTCCACTACTACGCAACTAAGTACTTCAACCTCAGCCCCAACCACAATGCTGTCATTGCCGACGCTACCTCCTATGTGGCCGAGAAGTCCGTCTCTGCCCCCGGAAGCTACGACTACATCATCCACGACGTCTTCACCGGCGGTGCAGAGCCTGTATACCTCTTCACCACCGAGTTTATGCAAGGGCTGTACAACCTCCTCAAGGACGACGGCTTCGCAGCCATCAACTACGCCGGCGACCTCACTCTCGGAAGCACGCGCCTGGTCCTCAACACCATCCACGCCATCTTCCCCGCCTGCCGCATCTTCCGCGATTCCCCCGCCTCCGAGGAGCGCAAGGATGGCGACGCCGATTTCATCAACATGGTCATCTTTTGCGTCAAGAACGACCATGGTCGCGGAAAAGAAGGAATTCGTTTCCGCAACGCGAAGCCTGCTGATTACCTGGGTAGCATTGCGCGTCGCAACTTTTTGCAGCCACAGGAGAATCTTGAGGTCAAGTATGAGTATGTGCCCAAGGAGGATGGGGGTAAGGTTATGGGAAATGCGGATGTGGGTGAGTTGGAGAAGTTTCACAAGGATGGTGCGGTTAGTCATTGGAAGATTATGAGGACTGTACTTCCTTCTGGTGTTTGGGAGATGTGGTAGGAGAAGTTTGGGTTGTGTGGTTGTTTGTGAGAGGGAAATGGAGAAGTTAGAGTGGGAGAGATAAGCGAGTTGTGGGAAGTTGCAGAGGAGATTCTGCCGTATATAGTTACATAGACGATATTGTTGTTTGCTCGAATTACAGTATATTTACTAGTTGCACAGCGTACAGCTTCGATAAATTGAACGTTCATCTTTTTCTTGGTTTCTTGTCAAACTCCCTTCACATCTAATCCGAAAATGGTTTCAGCAATGCTCAACTGGTACTGAATTACCCAAGAAAGGTCTCCCGTTCCTGGGCATCATTAAAGGCGATTTGATACGGCGGTTTCTTGTTGAAATAACAGAACTTGAATGTAATACACAACGCTTAAAAGTTTCGACGTGTTGGATGTAGTACCTATTGCTTTTTTTTCAACCCTTGAAGTCACTCTAAAAATACGACATGCATAAACTGGCGATGAGTAATCCCAGCAGTCATTGAACAGCCAATTCATTATTCATAATAAAGAAGATGCCAATGATAGGGTACGCCAATTGTATATCTACTATGAGATATACATATTTCATCTCCGTTTAGTGAGGCTCAGATCCGAGATTAATACCACACCTTCATTTCTATCCTGCCCGTCTTTCACGATCCACATATGATCATCTACTTAGATTCCTCACTCACGTTACATTCACATCAAATCACCCCTGCAAACATAATATTCTCATATCCTCACCTTTGCTTTCCGCTACACAAGTATATAGCAGTAGTATAATCATCAGTATCGCTATGAAGTGTTCTACAGTGCATAGTGCCTGCTGGTAGTAGAATGCGTAGACTCATAAGGAGAAGTGGGTGAGAAGGTATATGGAATGTACATTCAGTTACACCGAAACTGATTGAGATGGTATCTCGCTGTACAACAGATGTGCTAGTTCAAGTACACTTGAAGCTTTCAGATAAAGCAGGACTTGGTATACGAAGTATTTATCAGAAACGTACGGGAGTTATGTTGCTAAGCTTACAGATAAAGAGGCCGGTATCAAAGCTGACTGTACTGCTCTATTTTGACTGTGTATCTTTGAGAAAAAAAAAGGCAAAAGAACCCCCTCTGAATCACATGACGACCTACAACATAAGAATGTGTAGTGCGACTACTACCCCAGCTTAACTAGCTGCCTGCAGGAGGAGATTATGTGGAGATAGCAGATCAGCTTAGTCGATCAATAAACGTACGACTAGTAAGTCAAGCTGAAAGCCGTAAACATTCCTAGCTACATCAACCGGTGACATATCTCCTCTCTCCAACCAACCCAAACACGACAACTCCTTCCGAGAACCACCACACCTCTTACCTCCGAGGCCGAAAAACGCACTCCTCCCACGGCCCTAAGCAAGCCATGCTTTGCTCGCATCGGTCCTACTACGTTGGTGAAAAAAAACCAGGAAATACCTCTTTTTTTTCTTCTCCCCAAAACGCCCGGAATCTCTTGATCGGTGAGTTACGTAGTTATACTAATCCAACCCACGAGGGAAGCTATCACGCTTTGTACAACGCGGCCGTAGGCCCTTCCCCTCCCCTCAAACCCGCTCTCCCGCGTGGCGTACGCACGCACGCACGCCCACCAGCAAGCACAACAAAACCGCCCTACGCAAACGGCCGCTTAGCCACTAAGAAAACGAAAGCAAAAAACAAAAAACAAAAAAGCGGTAGGTTCACCCTTCTTACCTCACCCCTACGCTCTTCGCGCCCAACGCGCAAAAGAAGAGAAAAAAAAAAGATGTGCTTGATAATATCTCTACGTATACGCCGTTATTCCGGTGAAAAAAAAAGGCTCCATCAAACCCCATTCCTTCTATTTACTATTTCCATCTCCATTAATCACATTGCCCGCGTATAGTCCCCTTCCCCTTGCGCTCCTCATACATATCCTCACCGGACCCGACCTAAACGCCCCCCCTCCATCACATCACATCACATCACATGCCACGCTACTTACCCTCGCACTTGTAACCCCAATCTAACACTAGCGCTGCACGCACATGCTAAACACGCCAAACTACTAGCACTAAACTTCCGGGTGTGTAAGTAGGCATACGTGCGTATGCCGTATATGCATTAAAGCGTGACAAAAGAAAGGTAATAAGCCTTTTAGTTGACGCGGCTTGATCGCGATAAGCGCTGGCTGGGCGGAATCTTGATTTTCCTAGAACATGGGCACTTGGGTGATTGGATTGGGTGGTGTGTGTGTGTGTGGCACATGCAATGCAGGGTGTATGTGTGTGAGAGAGAGAGATTCGTGCATGCATGCATGAATAGTTTTGCACCTATACTGTGTAGAGAGAAAGAGAGAGAGAGCGGGGAAGGGAAAGGCGGTAGGTAGCAAAAAGGCGTGGGGCGTGTTTGATCGGCGGTAGTAACTAGGGTTTTTACTGTATGCGTATGGATGTCCATTGTTCGGTTGGAGAAGACGGGGGAGGTGAAGCTGTGTGATTGAGACACATTTCTGGATCGTCGGGGTTGGGACACGTGTATTGTGCGGGATTTACTAGGGGATGCGTTGCTTTGTGCCGTTGCTTGAGTCTTTGCTTGAGGGTTAGGATGGAGCGTGCGCTGCGTTTGCCGTGTGCGTGTAATATGCGAGGGAAAAAGCAAAAACAGACAGACGGTATGGGATACTGCAGAGAGAGGGATCGTGGCATGTGGGGAAGACGATGTGCCCCGTTTGAGGGCCGCGCCGCGGGGGGGGGAGGGGTCCAGAAATAAGGTTTGCAACGTTGTACCGTACATGTTCTTTTCCACTGCTTCTTTGGTTGCGTTGCTTTTTGTGGCTTTGCCATGTTTGCGGGTAATAATGACAGCTGAAATGTTTACGAATTTGGTGAGGCAATTTGTGCAAAGGTATTGGTATTTTCGTTTAAGCTGACACCTCTGCAGTTTCTGCCTTTACCGTATTCAAGTGCCGTTGCACTATTGCTCCATGCTACGCGAAAAACACGAACCATTTACGTGAACATGACTGGTACGGCTCTTCCCGGCATCCTTCTCTCCTCGCTGTAGTCTAGTTAGCGACAAAACGAGGGCATGCGACGCATCAAGAAAGAGAAAGACAAAAAATGACAGGATTGCGCAATGGACCCCATGGTGCGCCTCGAGGCGAGTGCGGGAGGCGGGAATCAGAAAGTCGGGCAGCGGCGTGTTTTGACCGCTATTTTCCTCTTGTTTTCCGCATGTTACTTGACCTGCAGGCCGGACAAGTCGCGTGACGTGAGCAAACGGTTTACATTGGGCGGTGGAACAGAACACATGAGTAGGAAAAAAACGTGGTTTGTGAGGCTTGCCAGATTACTTTTTGCTTGGTACCCCGCTGACGTTGATAAGCGTCAGAGGCGCTAACAAGGCGATATGCAGGGTATCTTCGGCTTTGCTGGATTAACATCTCCGATTTGCTGCTGACTGTGTTGACTGAATGGTGATGCTGCACCAATGTGTACTACATTTGCATGGTGTGCGATAGGTACCGCGTCAGTTGGTCGCATATTCCTCTTGGGGAACACGAGCAGCATCTCGCTCAAGCTTGCCACTTACTCTCAAGTGACGTCGCCAGCGGATCAACCTTGAACTAATTCTCCTCCGCCCCTCCTTACGCCCCGCTTTTCGAAATGCCCAAGAAGACGCTGCGGAAAGACAAAACCACGTCCAGGTGCGACACGCGGCCTTATGCCATGCCGATATTCTGGCCGCAGCCTACCATTGCACCCACGTTGTCACCACGAGACATCCGCTTTGCTCGTCAGATGGGCTGCGATGTCAACCCACAAGTAGCTTCGTTTTCTTAGGTGGAGATCCTCCACCTCTGTGATGAAATGCAGTCCCATGTCTGGGCGGCCACAAATCTAGATCTCGCCCGGTGATTGGGTCAGACAACCCTGGACCCAGCGATACAGCGTGTTGACTCTGGCTACCGGAGATGGATGCGTCTAGCGAAAAATTGCCAAGCTGGTACTGCAGCCAGTTGCACATGTTGACAAGGCTGGTGTTGGCTGGGCGGACACCTCGCTTCTTGGACTGCTAGACGCTCCTGCCCTTTCAAGTCACGCCACCTGTTTCTTCTGCCTGTCCAACTCTCACGACATGTGTCCCAATCCTGTTCCCATGCTTGCTAAGACGACACAAACAATCAATTGTCCTGCGCCAACGCTTGTGCCGCACCCTCCTCGTGCGGCTCGGCAACATGTCGGACAAACGGCCAACCCCCCCCCCCCCAAGCGCGCCCCCCGGAAATTTATGCCCCATATGTATTGACGGAGCTAGAGTCGACGGATGCTTGCAATGTGTCAAGGTAACGTCGTCAGAGCCGCGGCGGCGATTGAGCGGAAGATCACCAGGGGCTACTTGTTAGACGCTTGCGCCATGCGGCCGAATCAAGCGCGCTGATCTTCAATCCTGGGTCCATCGGCACTTTTCTGTAGGGCCACCAATTGCAACTTTGGTTCACGGCACACGGGTACGATAAGCAATGTGCAACCGGTGGCAATCGAAGCAGGAGCCATGGGAACCAAAATTTGCAGGGGAGCTTGGCATCGTGGCATTCGCTATCTGCTCGGTGCATGCTGTCTGCCGTCTGTGGATAAGACGATCGGCATGCTGCTACTACTACCACTACTACTCGAAAAGAAGAATGCTGCGCATCAAACGCGCAAAGATAACAGACTGCGAATGGTACCCCGCCATACTCGCGCCAATGCAATGCGATAATTATGGTATAATAGTGAGCAATATACAGGGGGACATGGTCATCGTTCGCCCATGTCAAAACGGTGGGTAAATGCCTTCCCAACCTTATTCTCAGGCTTAGGAGGAACATGGTGATGCAGATACTTCTTAGGTGCGGCCGTTCTTGCACTTGACGCCTTGGAGGCATCAAAAGTAATCTTGGGCTCCTCGTAGGATTCCGGACAGCAGCAGCCAATATTCTTGATGCAAGTCGTCTTGAGCACATCGCGGATCGTGATGCGCTGCGACGGAATGGGATGTAGCATCTTCAGTATCAAACGTTTGATCGACGGGGGCTCGATGAGACTGAATAGTTTGCCGCACTTGGGGTGGCCGTCGGGGCCATCGAAGATCTGTCCGTCCGGATGGGCTTGCAGCCATTGGTCCCAACCCTTTTTGAATCGCGCGTAGTACTCGAACTCTGGCTTGGCAGCTTGCCATGGACAGCCACCAAATGTCATGGTCAAGTAGACAATGGCAGTTGACCATATATCCAGCGGTCGGGGGTCGTAGCTGTGATCCTTTTGTAGCACTTCGGGAGCAATGTACGGCAGACTGCCGCAGATGCCAGGGGCTGAAAGACGAATGTGTCCCATATTTTTGCCGCATTCTCCGCCAGAAGCGCGCAGGCCAGGATGCTCGCCGCTAAAGACTTCGGCAACGCCAAAATCCGAGATTTTCAGATGGCCTTCCTTGCTGAGAAGCAGGTTTTCCAGCTTGATGTCTCGATGGGCTATGCCGTGGCTGTGCAGGTAGTCGACGCCGCGGAGAAGTTGCTTGAAGAAGCACAGTCGGTCATCCCGGCTATAGTACCCTTCAGGCCCACCGGCAAAGAGCTTACGCTCTACGAGCGAGTAGATTTCGCCATATGTGCAAAACTCCATGACGTGATTCCAGCGGCCGCGGTTGGTGCACAGGCGAACAGTTTCGACAATGTTGGGATGATGCAAACTCTTTGCAATGCTGTACTCGGACTTGATCTTGAGCACGTAGTCTTCTTCGGTCTCGTCCTTGTCTCTCTCTCGAAATTCCTTGACTGCAACCAAATCCTCCTCCCTGGTAATGCCTCCCCTTCGCGCCATGATTCGGACTTCAGACGTTGCCCCCTTGCCCAGTATCCTCCCTCTTTTCCCCGGCATCAGGCTCGAGCTCTTGAATTCCTTATCTAGTTCACACCAATCTATGATGAAATCATCGGGCAGGTTGATGCTGAGGCGTCGTGCCTTCATGCCTACGCCCTGGGCGGCAGGCTTTGAGAAGGTCGCCAGCATACCAGCAGTAGGCTTTTCTGTGCTCTCGCCGATTCGTGGCACTTGTTCTGTGCTGGCCGACCGCCTCCGCAGGAAACCAGTCTTTTTGGTAGTGGTGACACTTCCACTTCCAGCCCAGGTGATGCCAGGCCTGGGTCTGGTCATGTTTCCTGGACCGGTAGAGGATACGGGCTTCTTGCCAAGCTCTGGTCTTTTGTCGGTCGAGGGCCTGCTGCTAGTCGAGCCAGACAAGGGCGGAGAACTTGCACGAGAGGACCTATCGGAGCGTCTGGTTAGAGAAAAAGTACTTAACCTCTTGCTCTGGCGAGGAATGTCGACGGCCGGGGTCGACAACTCGGCTGGGCCATCGATGCCAGTCTTGACAATGTAGGTGTCGGTGTCTGGCTTTGTTTTTGGAGACCTGCTTGGCGTGGAGAGATTCGACGTCTCTAATTGACTGGCGCCGTCCTTTGATGCGTGGCTTCTGTGCAATTTGCCACGGAGCAGACTTCCGACACGCTTGCCCAGTCCACGCCTCTCGGGCGGCGACTCACGCTCAGGCGGGTGAGATGTGTGGGTGTCTGGCGGGGGGAGGGCATCTTCATGAGAAGACTTTGATGGCATGTCGCTGGGTAGCGGGCGTGGGGTAGCGAAGACATCGTCTACCGAATCATCGTCCGGGAAAGGGTGGTGAAAAGACGGACCATCGCTGGTATGGCTGGTGGGAGTGAGAGGCTCGGCAGGCTCGCTGGCGGTGCCTGTGCTCTCGTCCTCCTCTTCAATGGCAAAACGGTGGCTCTGGGAGCGTGAATCGCGATGATGCAGGCGGTCGGAGAGGGTTGGCTCGTCAAAAGAAATGGATAGTTGGCGCGGCTGTTCGGCGAGCACGGGCATGGCGAGTGGGGAGAGAGGGTTTGTGCAGGTCCGATTGGCGAGCAAGCGGGCGTGAATGGGTGTAAGAGAGTGAAGGGGGGAGGGCTGCAGGGCCTAGTGCTTGTGGTTAGGCTCGTTGGAGTGGGCTGGGGCAGTGGTAGCAGGAAGCCTCGAGCGAACTGCAGTCGTGCAGGTAGAGGGCGGGCAACAAGAGCGGCGTGTGGTAAAAGTGTTGGGCTCGTGGCAAAGCCATTCACACAACGTAAAGGAAACAAGCGTGCAAAGGCGCGGGTGGGTGTTGGCCGGGCGAGGGCGCCGGGCAGGGGATGGGATGGGATGAGATGGGATGGGATGAGATGGGATGGGACAGGGTGGGGACCAAAGTAGCGGCAGCAGTTTGGGGGAGAAGGGGAGGGAGAGGGAGAGGGAGAAAGAAGTTGAGCTTGGGGAATACGACGATAATTTCCCCCAGATGGCGCAGGCGGTGATGGCCCCTAGAGATGCAGAGGGAGCAAGGGCAGCCAGGGATTAGGGCTTTGATATGTGCGCACTGCAGGACCCTCGACCCTCGACCCTCGTCACGCTTGGCTGCTCTTCCCCCCACAGCAGGACAGGGCAGGGCAGGGCAAGCCAGGCGGAGGGGGGACTTGAATAGTAGCCGACTACTTACTAGGCCATGCTAGGCGGGTAGCACACTGGGCTAGGCCGGCCTGCTAAACTCTCTGGCGCAATGCATCCATCTCATCCCTCGCTCCACTGCTTCATCCATCCACCCATCCACCCATCCATCCAACCCGCCGACGCCCGCCCCGCCGCCTCCGCCGCCGCCAAACCCCCACCCCCCAGCTGCACGCCGTATGCACCTCTTGCGACACCTCCAGCTGGCGCCCTCGCTCAGCACCCTCACCGCGGGCCCTCTGGTCGCCGGCCGTGCTGGGTCACCTGTGGCATCGTCATCCATGTGTGCCACGAGACAGACTCATGACTGACGGCGCTCGCTGTCGGGATGGCCAGTAGGGATGGCTGTCTGTCTGTCAGTACTATGTCGCTGACTGGCAGGGCGGGACGCCGTCACTGCAAAAATGCCGCACGACATGGCACTCACACTCTGGATGTCGGCCGGGGCTGGGCTAGGCCGTGGCGGGCGTCAGCAGCGTGCTTCGCATCGCCGTGCCATATAGACAGTAGGTACATGCGGACATACGTAGGTAGCGAGGTAGTGTGGACATGGCCGCCTCGAGTGTAGTGTAGTCGACTTACGCACTCATGTATTGGCCTGGCAGGCTAAGGGCCGGTGCTAAGGCCCTGTGCTCAGGCCCCCTGCTTCCGCCCAACCGCCATTCGCTGCCCTCGCGAACCTGTCTCTCCGCCCATGTGTGCGCATGGATGGATGTACTATACATATATACATGCGTAGAACTGTACTTACATACATGCAACATACAGCCAGCCAAGCACACATGGACACGGAGGTGTGGCTGCACTTACGGCATGCTGCCCACGGCCTTGTTGTCCAGCTTAGCTTGTCCAAAAGCTTGCACGGCCCTTGACCTCCTCATACGACAACGGGCCAAGTAGCCACGAATGTAAACGAGAATAAGCCCATCCCCCCCGCGCCGTGGTCAACTGCTCGCTCTGATGACCACGCTGCCCACACTACTGTCGTCATCGGCACACGCTCCATAGTGCTCCCCCAACCTCTGCGCACGCACGCTCACGCTGCTTGATTACCAGCGCCCTCGAAATAGCGGGGTCAGCGTCGTCTCCTGCAGCCCGCGTCCTGACACGGCTCCCGATGACAAGCATATGCACTGCATCGGCTTTTGCTTTGAAAAGCATTCGTGTCAACACCGCCCCGCCTCTGCCCCCCCACGCGTCCACGAACCCGTCCGACATGTCGCGCCTCACTCTTACCTACCTACTCTCTCTCCGCTTCTCACACTACTTGTTTATTGGGTATGCCACCCTCAGAGCGGTGAGTTTCACACAGACTTGTAGTCAACCGACTGGTTTCCTCATCCCTCGCTTCCCCACCCGCACGCGCGCACACACACACACACACACGCTGCACCTGCAGTAGTGCCCTGCTGCTTCTTCTGACCGCAGCCTTTGCATTTGCCTCGCCTGCGAGCCCCGGATTCCTAGCCCATGGGGTTTGGCGAGATCGACGGGAAATCATCACACCAATTCCTTCGCCTCCACGCATGCTGTCAACATCGGGTACAACTCACTTGACTCCTAACCCGTTTGCGCTCTGTACCTAGGCACAGACCTTACAACCCACCCACACCGATCCCGATAGAGTAACAATCTAACAAAATACCGCACATGGTACAAGCTCCAGTCATTCGCCTAAATCCATTCTTCCCACCGATTTGCACCTGTCTGCATCTCTCTTGCCTTGGCAGTTTCCACCAATGTAAACGTAAATTGCTTTTACTGTAACCCCCCTTGGCACGCTGGAGGAACTCAGTTTCCGCGCTTGGCACTCAACAGTTAGCCGCCTTTGCTTCTTTCGCCAATCTGGACGACATAGATATCCTGTGTATGTGTATACCTACGCTCAATCATGACTCACCGGTTTCGCAATTGCCATCAAATTCTCCATGCAGGGCACATCTTTCTTGGCTTGATCACCACACTCTCGAAACTCGTCCGAGATGAGATGATTGACATCCACCGTCATAGTACTGTCCCTATCTCTCGCTCTATGTCACATCTGCAGCAATGTAACCTAAGAAACTCTAAAACCTCAACACACCAAAGCACTTGAGCCAAGATGTTACTACTACTACTACTACTACTACTACTACACCACACATACGCACACGCACACACCAACCACTCGACACAACCCGCCAAGACGCCTTACTTCTTCATCATCGCGGAAGCCGGGCTTGTCACCAACAAGATTCCAATGCCAACAAACTCAAGCTACTAGCCTCCATCCCCCGTCACACTCCCGATTTCCTTTTCGGGGCCTCTCTCAGTCCCGACCAGCGTACAGCTTGCGCGGAAACAACCTGCCAAGCTGATCTACTCATCTTGGCAACGATCATGTGTCATGGACTCCCCCTCCTGCTTTAGGCGCGAGATCTGCACTTTTCCGCTGCACAACACCTTCGACGGGTGACATCCGGCCCTCGTACTCTGGTCTTGGCTTTTTTCTTCCCGCCTACTGACGTATGGCCCAGTAGCTTGTTTTTTGCAGTTCCCGCACATCGCTGTAACCCCCTCTCTCCTCCCCCCTTTCCCGACACTGGATAAATGTTTGGTTCGTATGCTTGGGATATTTTGTGCAGCATATCATTAACCGTTGACTTTTTTTCTTCTGGTCCGTTGAGAAAGGCTAACGGGGAGGCAGGCGGTCAGGAGTGTGACTAACTACAGTTACCTTATCTTTGTCTCTATTTCTTCTTTTTTTGTGAAGAGACACTAGAAAGTGACAAAGATGTGGGGAGCCCGAGATGTGGTTTGTAGTTTCCAAATGTCACATACCGGATATCAGGATGACTTTGGAGAAAAGGGGAGAGCAAAGCAACAAACGGATAAAAGGAAAAAAGGGGGGAGGCAGAATTACCTGGTAGATTGAGTACGTACGTCTGACACCGATATTCAGCCATACTACGTAGTACCACTCACGTGCTCATTGTTACAACGATAACCATGATTTACCCGATACTGGCAGGTCGGGTTGCAACTTCTTATTCTTTCCCAGGAAACAATAAGACGATATATTTCACGTGCAACAGACATGAACCCATTGAAGCAATGATCATGACATGATGATCTAGCCCATCTTAATGCTACAGAAAAGGGCACAAGACTCTATAGAAAACAGAGAAACATCTATTTCCCCCATACACGAGCGAAACACACCAACTCAGACTCAAAAAGTCACTATTCTCTTCTTCACTGCCCATATCACATCATACTATATATATACATAAAACGAGCCAACTGAGCCCCTTACACACCGCCCTCCCCCCTACTTCCCATACCATTGCTCCCCACCCTGACCCCCTCCTTCTTCACATACGTCATCTCACTCGACGGCACAACCACCCACTCCCTTTCATCCACGATCCTGTCCAGTCCACAACTACTACTCTTCCACCCCTCACCCCTCATCCCCCTCGCCACCTTCCACGCCCCCGCAATGACATCGTTAACGCCCACGCCCCCAAACTGACTCCCCACGACCCTCAGTCTCCCCTTGAACTCCGCCGAGATACCCTGCGCGAAGTCCTTCATACGCTCGCTATACCCCAGCGTATACTGCGGAATACAATTGCGCGCGAGATTCGCAATGTGCGCCGTTGGCTCCGCCGTGATACCTAGATGCCTCTTGATCACGCTCCTGGCCATTTCCACACCTTCTTCTTCAGAGGGATACTCGGTCCAGCCGTCCCACCAGTGGCCGCCGAGCATGACGGTGAGTTTGGTGCCCGAGGCCGTGTCTTGACCTTTGATGGCGGACGAGTCGAAAATTACGCCGAGGGCGCGCTCCGGGTTTTGGGTAAAAGGGACGGATTGTGGGATTAGGTAGCCGAAGCCTTCGACGGGGAGGAGCGAGGGAGAGGGGAAGAAGAGATTGATGGTCATGACGGTGATGGAGGGGGTGAGGTCTTGGTTGCTGAGGGTGGAGATGGCCGTGTCGAAGGTAGAGGTTGTTGTTGAGCCTTCGTTCTGTGTCACGGTGTTAGTGGTTTGGGGAGGTTTGCTAGAAGGGGAATAGAACGTACGCCAGAAACGATTTCTATGCCTGGTTGGCCGTTGTTGGAAAGTGGTTTGAAGGATTGCACAGGCGATTCTGTCTTGATTTCGACGTTTCCCCTTGCTTCTACGGCGTCCTGCAACGCCCGAACCAACTGCTGCAGACCGTTCCTTAACGTGAACATGCTGGTCTCCTGTAGATTTCTCGCAAAGTCGAGTTCTAGATCAATCTCCTCGTTCATGGCTCGCGTATGTTCCAGATCCAGGGGGTGAACAAGTGTAAGCTGCTCCGGCCGCGGGTCTTCATTCTGCATGCGAAAGAAACCTCCCAGCGCATTTCCATATCGTCCTTCCAATTCCCAAGCCAAACTGAGCAGTGATTTTGCGCTGAGTTGCCAGATATCGCCCGCGTATATTCCATGAAACACAGCCGAGACAAGATTATCCGCTATCCTCTTATCCACCCTTCGAGCAAGGAACGATCCCACAGTCTCATCCGTCATAGAATCCGGTCTCTTTGGCTTCATCGGCTCAGTAACCATGCCCATTGCACCACTCAGTATGCCCGTCCGCCACAGTGCAAAAAAGTCCGCAAGCGACGGGCGCTCAGAGGGCAGCCGATTCAGCTGATCAGGATAATATATAAACCGATTCTTCGCTCCAGGCTCACTTTTCTTCGTATACGTAATATCGTTGACGAGACCGAGATCTTGAACCTACAACACAAAAAAAACACCAAGTCAGCACATGAAAAAACTAGCAAAGAGAGTGAGAAATTGAGAGAGCATCTCTTGTCCCAAAAGAACAAAAAAAAACACGCACCAAACCCGCAGTAACAATCGCATTCCTCAGCGCCCTTGGCCCCAATTCAAAAAGCACACTGCCAGACTTTCCATCTTGGCCTTGTACTTGCACCCGCCGACTCTGGATCCACCCACCCGTCTCCTTCCCCGCTTCAAATAGCGTAACCTTGCTGTGCGGAAACTCCTTTGAGAGAAAGTACGCGCTGCAAAGACCGCCAATGCCGCCACCCAGCACAGCAATGCGCTCAGGGTACGAGGATTGGTATCGACATTGTCGAGAAAGCAGTAGCGTGGACGAAGCAAGCAGCGGGCGGCTGCGCGGGTGGAAGTGGGATGATGATGATGGCGATGCGAGTACAGGGCGTGCAGCAACAGTCTTCAGCGTCTTCTGCGAGACATTCTGGAACCGCATTGCCGGTCAATTGGGTCGCAGAGGAAGAAAGAAAGGGGGGAAAGGGAGCGGTTTCAAGCGACCGGAATGTTGAGAGCCATATGTTATGTTTAAGTGTACATATAAGTATAACCAGTCTTTCTTTGCGTCCCGCCGGCGTCGGGGACTTTGGGCGGGTTCGCCAAAATGCCAGAAGCTTTGACCACCTGCTGCCGTCATTGATTCCAGACAACCCCCGGTCGGTGGTTTCGGGGTTAATGTGGGCGAAAGAACCGGACGCCGTTTGATATATCAGGTATGCGGTCGTCCTACGATAGTAGTAGTCACTCACGAAAGCACAGTGAAATGCAAGTAGATAGG